AGAGAGAGAAAGAGAGACAGATAGCGAGAGAGAGAATCGACCTCTCTTGTTTTAGCAACAGCAAATCAATACTTTGTCAGAGTAAAACCAACGCACATTGTCCAGCCCCTGCAGTTTGCTGTATCTATTGGATTTTAGGGAAGGTTGGATCGCATGCCTACGGCTTTAGTTTCCATTGACTTTATGAAGTTCTGGCACTTTCAGAAATATGACAGATTTAAACCTTTACGCGTAGGCTGCTGATTAAACTGCACATTTTGTGCTGACGCTCTTCAGACATACACCTCACCTCAGGAAAGAGAGAGAGTGGGGTAGAGACGAGAGTGAGAGAGAGAGAGTCCAGCGTGCTGCAACAACTTGCAGCTGAGGGAGCGGAGAGGACTCATGTGGCAAGTCGCAGCTGCTTTGTTTGGCTGTATACATGGCTGCAGAAGCCTGCTCTTCTTTCTTTCAGTGAATGTTATTGATGTGGGAGGGACGTTCGGCTGGATTCATTAAGGGGGAGGGGATAATAGTGCCTGGCAACACATCGCGCTGGCACACATTTCGCGTGTAATTCCCGCCTGTGCGTATGGACGGGCTGCAGGCAGAAAATGCAGGAGTTGGCGACATCGGGGAAAACGCGGAGGAGAGGTATCGCGCTTTAGCCTATGACACTGCTCTGAGCACTTTGGTGGCAGTGGTCGTGTACGTGGTGGTGAAAGTGAGCCTGGACGGCATCAGACAGTGGCGGGCCAGGATCTCGGTGCTCATCGTGGGTTCGGGACCCGTGGGGCTGACGGCCGCGCTGGTCGCTGTCCGCTCCGGTAAGGTGCTGAAACTGACCGTGCTGGATGAGAGGTACCGGACTGCCCTGCTCTGCCGGCCCCAGCAGATCGCCCTGGATCCTCGCAGCGTGAAGTTTCTGCTGGGACTCGGGGTGGACTTTGATAACATGGAGGGCTGCTGGCACAACGAGCATTTCTTCACCAGAATCGGTGTGTTTCAGGAGTACCTGCTGAGCATCCTGGAGCAGAAGAAACAGAAGGTGAACGTCAAGGTGCAGCTGGGGACTAAGGTAAAGCCTC